GTTATATGACTTACTAATACACTCTTTTCTATTTTCTTCTTTACATTCTAGATATTACTTGTTTAAGCATTTATTATCTTCGCTAAAATTTTCATATTCTTTCAAATAGTTTAGATAGTTTTCTAACATTTCAGGTGTAGATATATCTTCATCAAATTGATTTTATAACTGGTTTAGTCGGTTTTGAATTTCTTCTTCAGTTAATTTTTCTTAGACTTATTAAGAGACACATAGACCAAATAAGCATACAAAGATTAGAATTAGGAATTTCTATTTCATTTTATTTATTTTGTATTTGTTATTATTTTATTAATTTATTTAAATATTATATTAATTTGTAATTTATCTCTCATTTTTTAAAATATTTGATAAAATAGACAAGTAAGTTATAATTAGAAAATAAATATTAAATATTTATTTCCTATTTATAGCAAAAATTTAAAAAAATGAATAAATAGTACTAATTAATTTTCTGCCACTTAGTTATATTACATAAAACAAGCATCTATTTCTTAATTTTTAAAACTAATGCTATAAATTAAATTTAAGCCTTTTCTTGGTTTTTTATTATCATTTCAAATATAGCAATTTGCTATTTTAAAAATTCTTGATCACTGATAATGAGCGATCAAGCAAATAATTTTATTAATAAACAAAATAAAAATAATTAATGATAATTTATTTTGATTTTTAATAGTGCGTGGATTGAAAAAAATTAAAAAAAATTACAAAAAATATTTTTTTATTTATTTTTCAATGAGATAGTCTGTCTGTCGACCTTTCTCAAAATTTACATGTATATCATTTAAATTAAATATTAATTTTATCTTATACAAATATAAAAGAAATAAAAAAATGATATTAATATTTATTTATTAATTAAATATTATTTTAATAATTAATTGAAATCTAATGTAAAAAAATTTAAATTGTTTTGTTTATTCATACTGAATATCTTAGAAATTGTTTTGATTATTTTATTCAAATAATTAATTGTTTTATGATCTTAATAAAGTTTATTTTTTAGAATTTGTAAAAAAAGTAAACTTTTTTATTAAATAAGAATGTAATGGTTTAAAAATATTTAAGTAGTATTAATAAATGCCTTGTTTTCAAAACATTTATAAAAAATAAAAGAATTTTAATAAAATGTT